ATTTCTTTTCGATCTTAATGGTAAAAAACATTGCATTCCAATTTACTATCTTACTACATTCAAAATACTAGAGTAAAAGAGTTAAAAGACACAAAACGATACCGTGAAAAAAAAATACTTGCTTTACAATACTGTTGAATTACAATGTAAAACCCGTGTAACTAGAATAGTATTCTGGGTTTTAGAGATTAAAGGATAAGATAAAACTGGCGAATTACAGTGTAAATAATATCATTTATTGTTTTTATTGATACAGCAAATTGCGCTACCTTTCAATTTGATAAGATGCCTTGTACTTACTTTTGAATACGAAACGTTTCGTGGTGATCAACATCAAGTACTAGTGAGTATTTCGCAAAATGTGAACGGTGTAGTTGTGAAATATGAAAACAAAATAAAACATTCTTCCCGGTCAACTGATTCTATTTCAAATGATGTATGATATTTCTACGGCAAAAATAGTTCGTTTTGTGTGTGTGTGTGTGGTTTAGGACAAGCGACGTGTACCTAAACATAAAAACATTATTCCACGGTACACTTAACGGATGTGGTTAGTTGGCACGCACTTGTAGTGTGCCTCTAGCCACAGTGGTGCCTAGCTAGGCGACGGGAGGAGGCACTAGTGTGTCAGCATTCCAGAGAAAGACACCGAAGAGATCTGATAAGCAGTTCTTTCTCTAGAGACAAGACAAAAACTTTGTCAATGACGAAGAGAACAGTACAGAGTAAAGAAGATAAATGATTCTGCTGTTGTGTATCATAAAACTTCCTGAGTTGTACAATGAAAGCATACATCTCACATTGGTCTGGAATGGCGTGTCAAATAACCTAATAAAGCATGTAGACTAACAAAAAACACAAATCCGTTAGTCACATTAGTTGTGACTCGTTTTTTGGTTGATTTTTCAACATTAGTTTTCAAAGAAAGCATGACTGGAGATCTTGAAAATACGACTTGTTCATGCTTCACACTAGTGAAGTAGAGCTTGGTGTACGAACCAAATGTCTGATATTCATAACTGAAAGCTTAAATATGTATGTATATAAACACTGTAGGAATGAGATCGATAACTGTTGTATTTATTAAGTTGCTCACGCCTTTAGCTCCTTTATGTCGATATGAAGCATAACAAAGAGTCAGACGTCCGTCGTGAGATTATAATTCTGGAATGATAAATGTTCGTTTCTATTGAACCGTTAACGGTTAGTGCTTTTACCAACAACACCCACTTTAAGTCAGAAAACATTCAGTTCTCAGAAAGTCGAAGAAAAATGTAGTTCCAACAGCTCAACATGTCAATGTTAACATTGTAAGAGAAAAGTTAATGTCCAGAAAAATGTTCGAGTAATCATTGATAAAGCGTTAGCTTGACAAACCAAACAGTGTTCCATCACTGAGATTTTTTTTTTACCAATTGTCAGTGTTGATGTAACACAGTCCTTACATCGCGCTCTTTGACAGCTTAGCTTTTTAGGACATCCTTCCGGAAAGACAGATCTTGTCTCGACTATTTTATCTCCGTCATAACTGTTCTATCATCAATAGGATTGAAATAATCTGTAACTGTAACACAGCCATTAACCTTGTTGACCACAGAACACATCATTTTGGATATTCCTCAATTTTTTCTTCCAAAGTTATTCCATTAGTCTGAGTATGAGTAAAAGTAAACTAACAAAAATAACAAAGTAAATAAAGTAAATATCACAGGCTAGTGGCACTTTATAAGAACTGTAGCAAGTCACCAGGGTGACATGTTTAATGCCTACATATTTAGCTCATGGCAAAATCCCAACCAATCGACAGTGCAATACCAATACAGACTACTATCTGACAGAAAGATTGTGTCAATGTCATTTAGAAAGAAGGTTATTCATACAGTGACTAACGAGATTGCTAAACGATATGGAGTCAAAGGTCAACAGCGTTACAAACATGAGGGCTTTCATTATTTCCCGTGTTAACGAAAAACTTGCTCAGTAGAGTATTTAGGACAATGACAAGCTTCGACACCATATACCTAAACAATCTGGAGTAACACTCTTATTCGCAGTGAAGGATACGAAAAAGAACCATCCGAACCTCTCCCCTCACACACACAAAACATCAGTTTGGGCTGACCAGAAATGCTGGTGCCGTTGACAACATAAGCAAAAATTTAAACTAACGTAGGCTTACAAATAAAAGGTTCCCAAGCTTTCAGTTACACCTCGGACTCAGTCGCTGTTGTCATAATAAAGGTGGCCGAAGAAATTGGAAATACAACAATCTCATTTGATCACATACCTGTGTGGCCGTCAACTGCAGAAGCTTGTTACTATAAAAATTGAGGTGTCGGGTATTAATGGATAATCGTAGCCAACAGACAGAGCACGATTTACGGAAAAAGACGTAGATACATGAAATCCCGAGACCTGGAACACCATTCTTACAAATTGCTATTAGCACCCAGTACGCAGAACTAGATTGCTAGTTTGTGAGGTTTAAACGGATAAACAATTTATTACTGTGGATATCGCTTCTTTTCTTATATCAGAGGTATAGTTTCCTGGCTCAGGTAATCTCGAAAACGACAAAAACGATTTCAATTTGACAAATGATCTTAACATGACACACTTGCCGTATGCTATAAATACGACTCCCATAGCAACAGTGTGCAACAAAACACACTATAAGCTGGAAAATTTGTAGTTATACACATTGAATATGTTTCTTGCAACTCACTTTCAAATTGAACAAAGTTTACACACCAGGTAGAACGATCAATTTCAACGTTTATATATACAGTATATATATATATATATAGTGGTTTCTCTATTAGATCCGTGAAAAGAAGTTCATGATATAAATTTGAACTGTATCTGTAGAAGTGCTCATTGCATTGGAAAGTTAAATGCCATAATGATCGTAACTGTACAAAAAACTATGTAAAACAAACACTTTCTTTTGGCCTTGCTTTGGAATTCAACGGCCAAAACCCCTCAAACAAACTAAGTTGCCCTTTAAAATTTAAATTACTAGTGACTGTTTAATACCCTTGAAACTCGTTACAGTTAAGTCGGCTTTTCTTGTCTTAAGGTAAGCTAGTTCACCTAAAACTGCCTTTCTTATCCTTCAATGTATAGGTCGTAAACCATCTCAACCTAAAACAGCCTTTCGTATCCTTCAATGTATAGGTCGTAAACCTCTCACCTAAAACAGCCTTTCGTATCCTTCAATGTATAGGTCGTAAACCATCTCACCTAAAACAGCCTTTCGTATCCTTCAATGTATAGGTCGTAAACCATCTCACCTAAAACTGCCTTTCTTATCCTTCAATGTATAGGTCGTAAACCATCTCACCTAAAACTGCCTTTCTTATCCTTCAATGTATAGGTCGTAAACCACCTCACCTAAAACTGCCTTTCGTATCCTTTAATGTATATGTCGTAACCATCTAACGTAAAGCTGCTTTTCTTATCCTTCAATGTATAGGTCGTAAACCATCTCACCTAAAACTGTCTTTCGTATCCTTCAATGTAGGTGTCGTCAACCATCTAACGTAAAGCTGCCTTTCTTATCCTTCAATGTATAGATCGTAAATCATCTCACCTAAAACTGCCTTTCGTATCCTTCAATGTATAGGTCGTAAACCATCTCACCTAAAACTGTCTTTCGTATCCTTCAATGTATGTGTCGTCAACCATCTAACGTAAAGCTGCCTTTCTTATCCTTCAATGTATAGATCGTCAACCATCTAACGTAAAGCTGCCTTTCTTATCCTTCAATTTATAGGTCGTAAACCATCTCACCTAAAACTGCCTTTCATATCCTTCAATGTATAGATCGTAAATCATCACACCCAATGTTGCTTTTTTATCCTTTAATAAATATGTCAGAAAGTCATCTCACTAAAAACATATTTTCTTATCTTTTAATGAATAAATCCTAAAGCCATCTTTCTCAAAACATTTTTCTTATTTGTCAATGTATAGGTCAGACAGCCATCTCACTAAAAACATATTTTCTTATTTTTCAATGAATAAATCCTAAAGCCATCTCTCTCAAAGCATTTTTCTTATTTGTCAAGGTTTTGGTCAGACAGCCATCTCACTCAAAGCATCTTTTCTCATCATTCAATATATAGGTGAAAAAAGCCATATCACTAAAAACATATTTTCTTATCTTTCAATGAATAGATCAGAAAGTCTTCTCACTCAAAACTGCTTTTATTATCTTTCAACGAATAAGTCAGAAAACCATTTTACCTAACGCTGCTCTCGTATTCATTCGAGTTTTCTTGTTAAACTATATACCAAGTCTGTTTTATTCATGCTTCTACACAATAAAACGCACACACACCAACGTTTTTCGTCCTATCCATCCGTATAAACATCGTATCTTATTAAAGTAACATAATTTGTTATACGAGCGTGTTCTATTTTACTGAGTGAAGTGTATTGAACAGAACGAAGAAAAATGACTACTTTAATTTCATCTTGAAAACATTATAGTTTCCAAAACTGTTAAGTCCTTTTAAAATTTATTGTCATTCTTACCTTCTTTATACCTTAAAAACTGTCTAATCTACTCCGTCTTAGTAGAAATATAAGTTACATGCGAATGTTTTATAATCGGATTAAGAAAAAAACGACACACGAAATATTTTTCAATGTGAACTTAATGGATTTTAGAAGATTTTGAAAAGCTTTAAAGATTGGTATTTTTTTCACAATTTTTTCTTTTGAAAACTAATATATTGAACATTATATTGATTCGTTTTCAACGTAATATGTAGTCGAACGTATTGACCAAAAGTCCACAAGTTGAATTAGACTAAATTGTTTTTAATTCAGGCCTTTCCTGGAGGCAGATTAAATTATACTAACCAATAATCGCTAATTTATATTATTCACAGAAAATAAGTTACTTCTGCCATTTCTGATGTTGGTAGAGTTAGGCTTAACGAACTTGTTAAACAGGTTGATAAATGTAAGAACTAAAAGAAAAATGAACTTACATTCTTACGGGTGACGTGTGCTTTAATTACCACAACTTAGGTTGAAGTTCTTTCGTTTTCTGGCGGAGCTTGCAAGAGAAAAAACCTTATTAGAGGACTTGCCCGCAAGGCTGTTCTCGAAAATGTTTTAAAGTTGTCTTGGTGTAACAAACAAACGGAATCAGTTTTATGGGGAGATGTATCCCATATGTTTTTTCTAAGCCGAAACTGTGGATGTAGATCATAACATATTTTACTGAGGTGGTCCTGCACCGCGTAACATCACCTATTAAGTCGGATGCTAGTTCTCTGCTTCTCCAACCTTTAATGTTGTATAATCAGAATTTCTTGTCCTATCCGAGCACGAGAGGACACGATCTTCTGGCTTCCCCCACTTCACGGTCCAAGACACACTAGTGACTCTACTATTAAAGATACAATAAACAACCGTTTTACCAAATTCGGAGCTCACAAGTTTACGTTATCGGACCGGCCCCGGAGCGATCGTGACAGTGTTTCTGTCGGTTCTTTGTAAATCACATTCCAGGCGTGGAGTTGTACTAGAGTAGACACAAACGAGGAGTCCACACGTGAAGCAGCAGAGAGCGCTTCCTCCGAATAACTGCAACAGACGAAGTCTGAGTGGGACTTTTCGCTACGACAGTCTCGCGTGAAGCTCTCGGGTTATTCAGTTAGAAGCGGTACGTGAGAAGCTGACAATGTAACAGCTGCTAGCTTCACGGGGTAGCAACAATTCTTTGCAGCCTCACGGGCTAGCGAAACGTTCTAGATAAAATAAATTCTAAATATATAAAACTCTGTCTTTTTATATATCATAAATTATTACTAATAATAACAAAACAATATCTCTCGTAAAACTGTTATCTCAGTAAGAGTGTTATCGCTTGAATAACAAGGACCTTCCTCAAAAAATGTTTTTCTATTACATTTACATTATGCTTTTGAGATTTTCTTTCTGACTTCTGTTTTATCAGATAATAGAATCCAAAGAACATCTTCAAACGCTTCTTTCTTTTGTTCCGACTACTTGTTTAACGTAATTATAAACTTCATTTGCCTGTGCACAAAACGAAATCTATCGCCATTTTTATTATATGTTTTTTCTCGAAAATGTATGAAGATCAGTAAGCCAACAACAGGCTTAAACCTCAAAGATCTACAAGAGGATTTAAAGAAAATAAAATGGTCTTTTTGAACATCTCCGGTCAATTGTTTTAGTGGAATAGTCCTTGTGAATTATCCGGTCAGTTGTTTTAGTGGGATAGTCCTTGTGAAGTTCCTCTAAAAGTCAGTTATCTTAGCGAAATAGTCCTTGTACAGTTTTCCTGTCAATTAACTTAGCAGAGTGGTCCCTCTGAACTTCTCAAATAAATTAAACTTCTGTAAACTGTCTTAGCACAATGGCCCTTGTGAACTTCTTTATCAACTATTTTAACAGAATGGCTCATGTGAACTTTCTGGTCGATTATCCTAACAGAAGTGAACTTCTCTGGTCAGTTTTTCTAGCGGTATTGTCCTTGTGAACTTTTTATATTGTCAATTATACTAGCAAAAATAACAACAAATCGTAGGGAAAAGTGCAAATCTCTATTTGGCATAACCTTAAACAAGTTTAGGTTTTGTTATTATGGTTAACGCGGCACCATGTTTAAATACACCTCCCGGGTAACGTCACTTCAAAAAATTAGAACTTTTATGCTGTGTTTTGTTGGTGCAGATAAGATGTTCTTAAAAACTAACTAATAGAAGTGAGCCTCTTCACCAACATGTTCACTCCACGAGACATATAGTGACATATTTTAAAGCTACAAGACATATTTGTTAAAAAAAAATATATGGTTTGTAAATATTATAAAAAAGCAAAAAAAGAGGGCGTCATGTTAATCTAATAAGTGAGTTATGTTATGAACACCACAAGATGTACTTAAACGTGTGAATACTTTGGGTAATACACTGGATAATACCATGTTAACACAGGCAAAACGTCGTAACAAAGTAGTGATTCTTTTAGTCCCGTCTTTGGCTTTTCCCCGTCCCACCAAACATGCTCGCCCTTTCAGCCGCGGGGGCGTTATAATGAGACGGTCAATCCCACTATTCGTTGGTAAAAGAGTAGCCCAAGAGTTGGCGGTGGGTGGCGATGAATAGCTGTCCTCCCTTTATTTTTCACTGCTCAATTAGGGACGGCTAGCGTGGTAGTCCTCGTGTAGCTTTGCTCGAAATTCAAAAACAAACGAATAAACTTTGGCCTTTATTGTAGTATATTCTATGTTTCTAAGCCTTTCAAAACCGATCATATTCATTTCCTTAATTTATCGTTAAATATTTCTAAAATAAAGCTCTTACTTAGTTTTCTAATTTTATTCTATATCAAAAGAAACAAATGTAGTATCCATAGTACCAGCCAATTTAGAATAAAAATTATCGAACAGTTTGAAACACTGCTGACATGTTGTTATAGAACGAATATGACTTTCATAAATAAAAAGTTCGTGATAAATTTCGCGAATTCGACACGCTTAAATTCCCAATGATAAATAAGAAAATAAATAACCCCAGTATAAATAAAATCCGATTCCTACGGCTTTGGGAAATGTTGAACTTTCTCTCCCGGGATGTTTACTTCCGATTTTCTAAAAACAGTTTCAACAGATTCCGTTTTCTCTGAATTCACAGTACAGCTAATCTTGTAAAACAGTCTGAAAGCAACACATGAGATTGTTTTTTTTTATCTGATAGTTTAAAAAAAATTACAATGCCAAAAAGGCAAGCGGGGAAAGTTGCCAGTGAAATTCCAAATAATTTAAACTTATGGTTAGTAATTAGTTTAATACTTGCTCGTAGTATAGTAGATATCACGAAATTAAAATTTGTGGCGACTCACGAAGCGAAGCTGCCTGTAACTTATGAATGCCAGGGATTCGCATTCTAGACGTAATGAGCATTTCTAAAGACAGTTTAGCACCAGAATTGTAGCTCGAACATGGGTAATAACGCATCTAATAAACCACATACGTCTCCGAAACCTCAGCTCGGTGAGTAAAAAGTATTTACTCATTACTTTCCATGAGGTATAATTAAATAAAAATAAAAATATATTTTAAAATGCTGTAAAGAAGAAATTAGATTACAAGTTCGTACAAAACTCCACTAATTTCAACTCGCCTCACGGATGTAATTAGATAATGTTTACCACTAGATAGAACCAATGACGTCTTTGTTTATACGGAATCACGGTGGCAACGCTAACCTGGCTTCTGATTATATTTAGTGCTTCGTGTGCATTTGAGATAAATGGCCTGATCAGAGGGTTCTACCAGTCTAATTTTTAACTACTGACCAGATGGAGGGCAGCCAGTTAACAGCCCTCGCCCCACAAGTGTTTTGTCCAGCTATTTCAATCGAAAAATTGAATCGATTGTCACTTTTATAACGCGTCCATATCTAAAAGTGCAGAACGTGTTCAGCGGCATCACGTCTCAAATTTTGACCCTTCCGACCTACGTTAACCACTAAGACTACCCACGGCCCTGTTTACGAAAAGAAAACACTCATATTATGTTATATTTTGAGCTTGCAGAAAAGTTAGCATGAATATCATGGTTATTTCCGTACCCCTTACACAAAGACAATAGAACAGGCATGCTCTGATATTGGTTTAATTATACCACGCACTTCTGATCAGAGTAAAAAAAAAGATTCGTAGAGTTACATTACTCACCATACGTTTTTAGATTTAGCCGTAGAAGGTATAGAGTATCACTGCCGTTACTCTACGTATAGAGCCGAACTTTTGACTAAATGTGGGATATTACCACAGCCATTCTAAATGTGTTTTTTTTTCTGTTGGAGTAGAACATTCAGTAACCTAAAGATGTTGGTCTGTTAGTTAGAGTAGAACATACGGCCATTTACGTGTACTTGTCTGCGAGTTACAACAGAACATTCGATCACCTCCGTGTATTTATCTGTGAGGTAGTGCAGAACATTCGACCATCTTCGGGCATTTGTCTGTGAGTTAGAGTAGAACATTCGGTCACTTCCGTGTATTTGTATGTGAGTTAGAGCAGAAGAATTGTATTTGGCTATCTCCGTAATTTTTCTGCCAATTAAGAGCAGAATATTTATATTCAGCCATAATCTCCTTGTGTTCAAATATATTTTAAAGAACGATAATCGGTTTTAAAAGATGTTAGACCTAATCCAAGTCATCATCTCAAATTCCTTGGAACAAAATCAAAGTCTGTATACCACAATTAAAGTTAGTTTCATGAAAGCAAACTCGGCATATACCATGATTGTTCAAATACGTCGGAGCAAGACTAATCTCCGTATAACCGTGATTAAATTCATACTTATCTGATTCATATTAATTCCTTTGTACAACTTGATTAAACTACAATTTGTCGGATCAAAATCAACTTCTGTATATAACATCATTATACTCAAATTCATGTTAATAAGACCAACGTCTGTACATCACGATTAAATTCATATTTATCGAATTATTACAAAAGTTTGGGTATACGATGCTTAAACTGATTCATTGGCTCAAGATCAAATTCTGTCTGATAATCAAGATTATTGTAGTTTTATCAGAAGTTAAGTTCAATAGAAGGGGGACTTGACTGGCTACTTTATTTAAATTCTTGGTGACGCTTTGTGTTCCATGTATATGATTTGATCTGGCCTATAATTAGAGGAGTGAACGGTTTGATTTTTGTTTGTTTTTTGAATTTCGCGCAAAGCTACACGAGGGCTATCTGCGCTAGCCGTCCCTAATATAGCAGTGTAAGACTAGAGGGGAGGCAGCTAGTTATCACCACACACCGCCAACTCTTGGGCTACTCTTTTACCAACGAATAGTGGGATTGACCGTCACATTATAACGCCCCCACTGCTGAAAGGGCAAGCATGTTTGGTGGGACGGGAATTCAAACCCGCGACCCGCAGATTGCGAGTCGAGCGCCCTGACCACATGGCCATGCCGGGCCCGGAGTGAACGGATGACGCTTCAGTGTCCCTTTTTTAGGTTTGAAGATTGGTAAGTGGACATTTCATCATACAGTCAGGTTACTTGATCAGGTTTGAAGCAGAATGAGTGGAAAAGTTTAATGATCCATTCATACTATTTGATTAGGTATGAACCAGAATGAGTGGGAAAATTTCATGATACTACATCAGGAATGAAGAAGAATTAGTGGAAGAGTCACATTATCCTTTTAGGACACTTGATCAGGCCTGAAGAAAAGAAAAGTGGATGATGTATCATGATCCGTTTAGGATGCTTGGTGAGATCTGAAGAAGAACGAATGGATAACGTTTCATGATATCCTCAAATTACTTGATCAGAACTGAAGCGAAATGAGTGGAAAAGTTTCGTAATTCTTTTAGAATAGTGTATAAGGTGTGATGCAAAATTAGTGAAATAATTTCACCATACATTCGGATTACTTGATTAAGTCTGAGGCAGAATGACTTTTATGATCCAGTCAAGATACTTGATCAGGTTTAAAGAAGAACGAGTGGATGATGTTTCCGTGTATATTCAGTCTGAAAATAGAGACGTGGGCGAGGTTTTATGGTATTTTCAAGTTACCGAAACTCTAAAAGGAGGGGGGGGGGGTTCAGGCTTCTTCTAGGATACTTTTCTAGTCATTCTGATTTTAAATGTTCAACAAGCTATCGTTTTCGAGATTTATACATATTAGTTAGTATCCTATGGTTTTGACCAGTGTTCCCTCTAAGCTGCGCG